ATTTTTGATGAGTTTTCTGGAGAGCAGAAGCAATTCCGAAATTCAAAGAACTTTAAAATCTTAGTGTTTGGCAAAGGGAACACTGAAGACTTTGAACTAAAAGGTCTTCATGTTGCTGCCAAAGCTGTGGCACATCTTAGTAAGTATGAGCCATCATACATTCTCAAAGTTGTTGGTGCCCCCGAGGGAGAACAAGAGAAACTGGCTGAGAGGTTGGGAGGTCTCGGGATCTCTCGTAGTCAACTGCTTGTGAGAAGTTTTTATAAAGAAAGAAGAAAAATGGCTCAGCTATTTTCAGAAGTGGATCTTGTTTTGATGCCTTCAGGTACAGAGGCATTTGGTCTCACAGCTTTGGAGGCATTGTCAGCAGGTGTACCAATCCTTATTACCCATAATTCTGGCTTGGCGGAGGCTCTAGAGGAAGTACCTTTCGGGCGCAGATGCATAGTAGATCAAGCAGATGATTGGGCTGACCAAATCAAGCAAGCACGAAAACATCTGAGAACTGGATTAGTAGAGGCAAGCACACTACGCAACAACTATAAAGAGAAATACCATTGGATGGACCAATGTGCTGCTTTTGTGATGAAGCTTAGGGCCTTGCATTCAGGTAAAAATGTTAACTTTATATGCATTTACCTGAAGTAAAAGGTTTACGGTCAACTCGCCGACGGACCAACTCGCCGACACCAACTCGCCGACGTATAAAATCGAGTAGAGACGTCGGCGAGTTGGTCGTCAATCCAATACAACTTATTAGAAGCTAAAAATACAGAAAATTAAACGATATTTAGTAAAAAAACATTGGACAGAAAATTTAGAACAATGCGCTTCGTAAGCACGAAAAACTGAATAATCTCCTCCCACAATTTTTTAGCAGGAGCTGAGATTTTTTTCGCATCGTCATGCCCTGCTTGTTTCTTTTTTTTTTTATGCTCAACAGGTTACGTGTATATTCAACACGTCATTGACGCTGTCAGGTTCATCTTCCAAATTACTGAGCAATCAAATTTCGCGCTACGAAAGTTATCTGTACCTGTTTTTTTTCTCCGAAAGAGAATATAAAACAAAAACAAAAAATTCGTAACTTCTCCATTGTGAGACTTGTGAGTAAAAATATCACACCCTCGTCTTGCCGCGCGTTTGATTGAAAACTAGAAAACAGCTGTGCGCCAGCGCCTGCTCTCTCCGAAAATTTGGAGAAGCTGTTGATGGCTCCTTACTTTTAACAAAGATTGTTAGAATCCGCTGTAAAACTCTGATAGTTTTTAATGGGAGAGACTTACTTTTAAGCAAGACTTGCTTTTTTTTTTCAAAAGTAAATAAAAAACCTTGCACCTTCTTCGTTGTGAGACTTGTGAGTGAAAAAATATCACACCCTCATCTTGCCATGCATTTGATTGAAAACGAAAATAACTCAAATACATGCTCTTGCAAAAACTAGAAATCATTCCTTTGATCAGTGTATCTTGTATTATCAACATAGTTACACGAATTCGGCGCCTTTGCAAAGAGGAATCCTCGTGTTAGGTAAACATGTTGGTTTTAAAAAATGAGCGCCTCGTTTGAAAACAGCTGTGCGCCAGAAAACACAGAAAACCGTCACTTTCGATTGCATTTAACACCAGTACTAAGACCAAAAAATATATTTGTGCGCTGACTTTTTACCAAGCGTCTTGACTTAAATAAATAAGACCGATTGACATGATGAGTCTTTACGGTGTTGTTGTCACACAATAACTCGTTCGCGTCTGAAGCTGTTAGAGTCGTTGGTGAGGTTTACTTCGCTTTATTCGCCTTAAGATCCTTATAAACTTTGTTGCAAATAAAAAGAATTGCTTTTTACTAAAGATCTTGTCTAGAAAGCCAAGTTTTCGTTAAAAAAACTGAGCGATTCACATGCTGAGTCTTAACGGTGTTGTTGTCACACAATAACTCGTTCGCGTCTGAAGCTGTTATAGTCATTGGTGATGTTCACCAATGTTCACCGATGTTTAAGCTTCTGTTTGATGTTCACCAATGTTCGCCAGTGTTTTTTTTACTAAATATCGTTTACTTCTCTGTATGTTTAACTTCTAATAAGTTGTATTGGATTGACGACCAACTCGCCGACGTCTCTACTCGATTTTATACGTCGGCGAGTTGGCGTCGGCGAGTTGGTCCGTCGGCGAGTTGACTGGTTACCAAGTAAAATAATTAAATAAGTACCTAGTAGCTAGTTGGCACAAATCTGTTTATCATTTTGAAATTGGAACCATGATTAGAATTAATATAAGAGTGAAATAATAAAAAAGGTAGACATAAATTAAGGGCTATTTTGATGGTATCTGTGCAGTTCAGATTATTGCTGATTTCAGTACAATATGTATTTTTTATAGTGCAAAGATGTTTTGATTTTCATGTGCTCAAAGCCACCAAACCTTAAAATGGACATAGAAATTACA